AACGTCAAAACCTTTTTTTTCTTAAATACAGCCAATTTTTAATTTTTTCTCCAAACTTTAAAGATCTCTGGCTCAGAGGGAGGTTTATTTTCGAATCCATGTTTATAGGAAAAAGAGTCTTATTTTGACCTCTAGAATACGCTCTTAAAATTTAGTGCATCATTTTAGATACACCCTGTATACAGAGTGTCCCAAAAGTTCCAAACCGGTCGAATATTTCATAAACTATGCACTTTAGAAAGAAATGTTTCAGACAAAAGTTGTATGGCTTGAAGGGGGTCATCAGATAGTGGCAATGATTTGACCTTGGAGAGTCATTTAAAGATGACGTAAAGGTCATCTTTAATTTCTTAAATGGAACTCCCTATTTTTTATTACATATTCGTATAACTTATCTCGAGAGCTTTCCAAAACACTATAATAAAGTATTTTCTCATTGAGTACTTTTCGAGTTATGAGGCTTGAAATCATTTCTTAATTTTGCATAAACCATAAAATATCTAGTAAAATATTTATTTTTCGATTATCTTATCTTAATATTTTTATGTACAAAATAATGAGGGAAATCAATTGGTGTAAAGAAAGTACATAGTTGTTTTTAAAAAAATATGTAATTGTTAATTGCAAATTACATATTTTTTTTTAAAAACAACTATGTTTCTTCTTTGCACCAATTGATTCCTCTCATTATATTAAGGTAAGATAATCGGAAAATGAATATTTTACAAGATATTTTATGGTTTATGTAAAATTAAGAAATGATTTCAAGTCTCATAACTCGAAAAGTACTCAATGAAGAAATATTTAATTATAGTGTTTTGGAAAAATCTTGAGATAAGCTACACGAATATGTAATAAAAAATAGGGAGTTCCATTTAAGAAATTGACGGTGATCTTCACGTCACCTTCAAATAACTCTCCAAGGTCAAATCATTGCCACTGATGGCCCCCTTCAAGCCATACAACTTTTGTCTAAAACATTTTTTTCTAAAGTGCCCAGTTTATGAAATATTCGACCGGTCCGGGACTTTTGAGACATTGTATATTAGCAAAAAATTCAAATAATTACTAATTTATTAGTAACTTTATATCGTATTACTTTGTTTATAATTTTATATAAATATTACAACTACTATCGTACACGAATAAGTACAATTTAAGCCATTTGAATTTTAAAATGATTAATCATCGTAGTCACGATGATCTGATTCCGAAAAGCAGTGAAATTCGGCTATGGTTTCAATTAAAATTCCTGATAGCGAATCGTCATTCGCGAAAGCAATGATGTGCCTTGTCGAACGTTTCGTCTCGCTCCGATTACACAAATAGGATTACGAATAACCTGTTTCCATTATGGGCGGAATATATTAATCAACAGTGGGACAAACGTGAACGTTATACAATTCAAGGCTTAATGTAAGGCTGCAAAACTGGAAATGCTCAACTAGCAGTAAATATAATCTTCTTGCAACGACTTGATAAAAAAAAAGTTTACATTGCACACAATAAATATAATATCATTCGAAGTAAGCGAGAAGAAAAGAGAGACAAAGATAAATTCCCTTAGATTTATTAAATATCGATAAATGTCCAACAAATCCAAATGTAGCATATGTGCAAATATATGCAAATATACTGTAATAATCTCATTACATTATGCAATCAGCGCGTTGCACGCACATGCTAAAAGCTCATCATGGTAATCGAAAACAGGTGATATTACAATTTACACGTGTAGCTCAGGACATTATTATCACGATAATGAGAATTTATGCGAGCTTTTTCTAATATTGTAAAGCGTGAAAAAGTCAAGGCTACTCTCCGGTTGATTGTAAAGTTACATTTTCGTCGCGAATACGCGAGATATTTGTTCAAAGATAAAAAAGGTTTTCAATTACGCGCGCAGAATAATTAATCCCCTAATTGATTTTATCGCAACGTGTTGTGTATTTATGATTTTCATCCAATAATCATTGCATTAATAAACGTGCATCATTACCGATAATGAGATAATTTACATTAGGTGGACAGATTTCTACATAAAACGATAAACGCGCATTACGGACAGTTGTATTTATCTATATAATGCACACATGGCTCTATTGTAATTATCTTGTATCTGAAAGTAGGAACATTTAGTGAAGAAAACCGCAGATTAGAAATGAACGTTTGTCATTAACCGCTCTAATGAGATTTCTAAGCTCAACAAAAAAGAAGCTGTATTAAATAGAGAATTTACGTGTAAGAAGTTCAAAGATCAACTTTGTTGCACTTTTAAAATAAAGATTAATGATAAAGGCTTACTTTGTGTCAAAACTCTATAGAAAGTTATCTAATTAAGAATCTATGAATAGCTTCTTTATTATCTGCAAAAAGAGAAGTTTTAGTTAATAATAGGAAACTTTAATAAGGTATCCGATTTACATGAGATGTTAAAACTAATAAAATATTGATTTAAAAATAAAATATTGATTTTAAATCAGGAATTTTAAATCAGGATTTTAAAGTCGGAACATTTAGTGAAGAAAACCGCAGATTAGAAATGAACGTTTGTCATTAACCGCTCTAATAAGATTTCTAAGCTCAACAAAAAAGAGGCTGTATTAAATAGAGAATTTACGTGTAAGAAGTTCAAAGATCAACTTTGTTGCACTTTTAAAATAAAAATTTATGATAAAGACTTACTTTGTGTCAAAACTCTATAGAAAGTTATCTAATTAAGAATCTATGAATAGCTTCTTTATTATCTGCAAAAAGAGAAGTTTTAGTTAATAATAGGAAACTTTAATAAGGTATCCGATTTACATGAGATGTTAAAACTAATAAAATATTGATTTAAAAATAAAATATTGATTTTAAATCAGGAATTTTAAATCAGGATTTTAAAGTCGGAACATTTAGTGAAGAAAACCGCAGATTAGAAATGAACGTTTGTCATTAACCGCTCTAATGAGATTTCTAAGCTCAACAAAAAAGAAGCTGTATTAAATAGAGAATTTACGTGTAAGAAGTTCAGAGATCAACTTTGTTGCACTTTTAAAATAAAAATTTATGATAAAGACTTACTTTGTGTCAAAACTCTATAGAAAGTTATCTAATTAAGAATCTATGAATAGCTTCTTTATTCTCTGCAAAAAGAGAAGTTTTAGTTAATAATAGGAAACTTTAATAAGGTATCCGATTTACATGAGATGTTAAAACTAATAAAATATTGATTTAAAAATAAAATATTGATTTTAAAAATAAAATATTGATTTTATATATTTTAAAATGTTTTAAAACGTTAAAATATTTTAAAATTTTACTTTTACGTTTTAATAAAGTAATATCTTCTTCTTTTTATAATCATCCACTTAGATAATGCGGATGTTATTTAACTGCCTGCTCGAAAGTGTGTGCGCTGGTAACGTTGTAATCCGCCAGAAAAATTGCGCTTACATTACGGAGAGTTGCTTCTCCGCTCTATATCTTCTTAATAAGGAAAACTTATTAATTCTCGTGAGAGTTACGACGAAGACGAAGCACCGGAATTTTTTGTTTCAATATAATAAAGGAAACTCGTTTATCTCTTTCAAAGTGCTACATAAAGCAGTGCGTGCTATTATGCTTCTCTTCTAATTATAAATTATATAAATTAATTATAAATTATATAAATTAAAATACATCAAGTTGTCGTTCTGTAAATTTGATTTAAAAAAAACAAATGAGAGGAGAAAAATCTTATATAATCGATAATCATTAATATCATTCAATATTAATTCAGATCGGAACAAATATCAGAACAAATATCATAACAAGAATTTTTCTATAACGTGCGCCAGAAATGTATTTTTTAAAAGAATTCCAGACATAAAATTTATTTAATCGCTTTTACGAAGCAAACTCATTCAATGAAGAATAATATTTAATTAAATATTCAATAATAAATATTTATTTATTATAATAAATATTCTAATTAAATATTAAATTAAATATTTATTATAATAAATATTTAAATATTTAATATAAATAAATAAATATTTATAATAATAATAATAATAATATAATAATAATTAAAAATAAATAAATAAATATTTATTATAATAAATATTTAATTTAATATTCAATTAGAATAACATTTCACGCGCCGATGGAATCTATAATCAATTCTTTGAACGATACTTGATAAAATATCTGTTTAAAAAACAGAGGCGACGTGACGTCAATTTGGATCACTCGATGATTTCAATTTGCTGCTCTTGTCACTAAACGCAAATTTCTAATAACCAATTTAATAAGCAATTATTAACTCAACATAGAATCAAGTCTTTGAGCGATACTTGATAAAGTGTCTCTTTAAAAAACGGGAGCGACTTGACATTAATTTGGATCACTCGATGATTTCAATTTGCTGCTCTTGTCATCAAACGCGAATTTCTAATAATCAATTTAATAAGCAATTACTAACGCGACATAGAACGAAGGCAGATAATCTATGCAATCTTATCATGATTTTATCAGCTGACTATAGTTGCTGGCTCTCGTTGCATTTATATTCGAGCGATTCCATCGAAGGCTCCTTTCCTCGAGATGGATACCGACAAAGAGAGATGGATCTCATTTTCACGATGGTATCACGAGGCGTTTCCTGAATGGATAGACAGAACCTGGAGCGGCCAAGAGCGACCGTTGGATGAGTAGGACAGTGTGTCGCCGTCCTGCACGTTGGGCCCCGTTCTTCTCCACGTGACCCGGCTACTGACCCACTTTGGTTTCTCCTGATTCCCTCCCTTTCTCCCCGATGAGGCTCCCCCCTCGGTCCCCTTCGTTCCACCTGTCCCCTCGATGGCCCCCGTCCACCAAGAAGCGGTCGCCCCTTCCTCTCTTCAACCGGGCTTCCGTCGAACGCAGCGTTGCCTCCACCATAAACGACCTCCACCATCGGACCGGCCACCACCACCGATCCTCGAAGGCGCCGCTTATGACTTAGCCATGCGACTCCAGCAGCACATGCCGTGGTACGACGACCAGACAGATACCATCCCGTTGGTTGGCCGGATGGACGATCGTGCGGTATAGATTGGTGCGAGCGCGTAAGAGTCACCAGAGAAGAGATCTCCAGGTTGGACGATCGGTTTCGGCGACGGGCCACGCGACAATCAAGTCCTGGTATCGTCGATATGACTGATAGTGCGCGCGATAGGGAAGCTCGATAATCGCGAGATCGGTATCGGTTCGTTAATTTCGATCATCTGCATAGCGTATGATTCGACGCATCGACCAACGAGTTGACCGGCGACGAGACGAGGGCAAGTTGAGTGAAGAAGTGCGGAGGATCAGTGATCTCGAAGAGGAAGGCCCCGTGGAAGAGACGATCTAACTGGCTGACACGACAAGGGCAAGGTCGCGTTTCCTCTCTCGCGGAAGGAAGCAGACTGGAGGAGCGGACCTGTCGTCTGCCGGAATTAAAACGACGTTATGAGACGCGCTTAACGGGCCCTCTCGACGTTGCACCTAAAGGTTAATGCGCTGCACGGTAAGTGGCTTGGTCCCTTAAGGGGTTGTTTGATCGATGATGCGACTGGAATGGGCGTGACGTAATTTCCCTCATGTGCCGACAGGGAATCGCTCGAGTTGCTCTCCCATCTTCATGATATATTGCATTTCTGACCCGGAAACTTTTAACGCACACTTTTCCATTTTACATGGGAATTATAAAAAATGAATCATTTATTCTGAGCATCGTATATAAGTAATTAGACAGGAATAAAGAATTTAAAAAAAGGAATAGAAAAAATTTCCCAGAGAATATTTATATTGAAAGATTTTTATATTAAAATATTTATTTATTAAAAAATATTTATATTAAAATATTTAATTGAAAAATATTTATATTAAAATATTTAATTGAAAAATATTTATATTAAACAATATACAAATGTTTTAGGCTTTAAAAAATTTTGAAATTGCGCTTATTACTTGCAATTAAAATATAAATATTAGAAAAATATGAGATTTCTCGGTGAAAAAATTTGCGACATTTACGTACATGTCATGCTTTAATTTTGAATTTTAAATCAATTATACAAATTCATTTCTTAGAGATGTTTTTCTGAAAAGTCTTCTACATCTAATTACAACGGAATTCTTGATTGCATCATTTATGTATCATTAGCGTAGGTATTTTGCAGGAAATAAACTTCTGACGGAAGTAAAATATGACAGAAATCTTATAATGATGTTTAATTCTGCTCAGTTTAATGTATACAAAAACTGAGTTATATTATTTGAAAATGTAAATAAGATATTTATTAGAATTTAGATTCATTGAAGATAAAGACAATTATTTAAAAAACGATATTTTATACAATTTTATAATTTGAAGAAAATCTTTTTTTTTGAAGAAATTCTTAAACAAATATTTCTTAATTAATCCACATCTGTCTAAAATTTAAATGCGATAAATAATAGCAAAATCGCTTCACATGATTTCTTATTCGTATCATTGGCTCGCCAGATACATTCTAATCTTGTGGGAGAAAGTGCAACACGAGGTCAACAGCGAGATTTAAGATCGGCAACGGAAAGCGCGCGCGTTCGAGGATCGGGGCACGTCTATCAGAATCAAGACGTGATCGGAAATCGGCATAATCACGCGGATGACGATAATCGCGATCGTGAGGACAGCCGACGTTTTAAAACAGAGCATTTCGACGCGCGTGGAAGACCGATTGCATCGATAACATGCTCCGTTGCACTTCAACTTATCTCTTCCTCTCGTCCTCGGCTCGCGCTCGCATCTTTCATCCCCACGTATTTCTCGTTCATGCATCGTTAAACGTGCGTGACACGACGCGAAGAGCTAGACGCCGAAAGTCGCAGGCAGATCTCCGGCAGGCAGATGAAATCGATGACGCAAGTAACAGGTATCGTCGACCTGACTCGTTGCACGGACCTGCCCTGGTTCGCCGGCAGACGAGACGCGACGACCGTGAAGCCTTAGTACACCTTGAGCCACGAGAAATCGGCATCGCGCGAATTAACGTGCACGAAGGAATCGTCACGCACTACCGTAACCGGCGAATCTTAAATACAGTTATGTTTCATAGAAAAGAAACGATCAAGCTGATAGGAAAGCGAAGGATACGTGCTTGCGTGTGCGTTGTTATTTTTTTCCTTTGGGCTAGATTCTACTTTTCAAGATCTATCACACTGAGAAAAATCGTTTGATTGCACCAACAAGACGTATATGATTGAAGGCATTTTTGGTTAAATTAAACAAGAATTTCTAATTATCATGATAAGACTCGATTTTTTATAACTAAAACGTTTAATAGATTTTATAATGTATTATAAAATCTGATAGAATAGATCTGTAAAATTTCTTGTTACATTAATTTCTTAGCTTGCTTCGTAACCTAACTCGTATTCAATATTTGCCATGAAATGTATATAAAGAACTATTATATAAGAAATATTAACATTAAATCCAAAGTATATAGTATTTTTATAGTAAGTATTTTTTTTTCTCTTACGAGCAGAAAGAGAACGCTAGCTCTCTGATTGTGTGTGTTTGAGCTGCATCCTCTTCTTGCAACTGTTTATCAATTTAATTTCTAACAAACTGAATTTAAAATAATTTATTCAATAATCTGGATTGAATTTATCCAATAATTTTGTTCAGAATATTCAGAATATTGGGAATATAAATTTACCATGCGACACTAGTGGACAAAACGCAAACTAAAAAATATGGCCGTCGCAAAGGGCGATTTAATATTGTTTAGATACGGCAATCAGGGTGTTTCTATGAAATAAAAGTGAATAATACATTGAGAAGTATTAGAATAAACAAAAAAATAAAGACACAAGGAAAATAAATAAATTTCTTCACGACTTTTTACCACACACGATAATTAAGTCAGAATTTATTACATTCTGGCCTTCAATCATATTTCTTGAAGAGGGTGTAGCATTGGTATAGCTACACAAAGTATCTAAACGCAGTGGCAACATTTGCGTTTTCTTAACAATTTTTAAAACAGTATTCTTAAATGTCAAATCGCCTTTTGCGACAGCCATATTTGTTATGCGACACGAGCGCCCCCTACCCGCGGTGGTAATTTTTTTTCCCAATTAAACAGACTTTTTGAGATTAGATGGATAAAATTTTAGACGACTTGGTGCTGGGAAGGTTTAGTATTATTAACCAGAAAATTTGGTAAATTTTACAGGAAGAAATTAATCAGATTCATCTGGTAATTCCTACAAGAATTCTGGTTCATCCATTTTCCAACAGACATACTGGTTGAATCTACCAGAATTCTAATTAATGCAACCAGATTTTTTCTCAGTGCATCCTCTCTTATTATATTCTTTTTCTTTCTCTTTTGTTTTTATACATATGGATATTTTTAAAAATCTCTAAAAATATCGAGAGATCGGGGAGGAGTTTTACGAAAATAGCGAGTCGATATGTGAGATATTTTCACTTTTAGACGTGTAATTCCGCTACTGTCTGGCGAGAAAACTCCACAGGCGAAAGATCTCTCGCGTTGACCCCTAACAGCTCCTAACGCACACATCCTTCACGCACACGTCTGATGTGTACCTAAGTCAGGTATGTGGCAGCGAGTCGTAACGGTTGTCGACGCTTTATTGTCGCTCTTTCCAATCATGTAGGCTCATTTGTGCATTTAACGCTTTTACATAACGCTTTTTATCGGTTCAACTAATGGGAGAACATTCACACGCGCAACACGTGGCGCTTTTTAAAATTAATTACAACGCTGACGGAGAAATTCTCTCTCTCTTTGATAGGGATTTTACACCGGAAGAGATAAAATATTACGAGAATGCAACAGTGAATTACACCTACATATTTTCTTTTGTATTTGAAAACTTTTCCCCTTTATCTCTTTTTCTTGATTTTAAAATTAACTCTATTAAATTAAAAAATGCTCTTCAAAATATATTTAATAAATTATATCTTATTGTTAGAAATATCTCAAAAATATGTGGAGTTATATATAAATAGATTTTAAATAAATTTAAAAGGTTGAAATTGTTTTTGACACTTTTTTTTAACAGTCAGAAATATCTATATTTAACCAACGAGCCTCGTTTACAGAAAGTTTCATTAAAAATAGAATTTTCGCATCGGAATATTTTTGCAATGGAATCATAAATAAATAATAATTATAATTAATAATAAATAATAATTATTAATAATAATAAATAATAATTATTAGTAATAATAAATAATTATTATTAATAATTATTTTTTTTTTCGTGCAATCGATACTGAAAACCTTCACGTATAAATGTCACTTTCGATGTTTCGTACAAGTCTTTGGCATTAAATCTAACACAGGAAGAAACGATCGGTTTTGCACGAACGATCGCGCTCAAAATATCTTGTCTTAAATGAACGAGCGAAAGCAGAGATCGTCTGCAATCGCATTCTCATTCCAAGTCTAATTTCGCGCGAAAAGTCGCGGAAGTTCGTACAACACGGATCTCCTACTTTCTCGGATTATTTCGCTAATCACCGTTGACTCGATAATCGACATTCACGCGAAGAGAAAATAGAGGCCAAAGATGTTCCGACCTATTGAATTAATTCGAATCGCGCTTATCCGCGAGAAGTGAATCGCGGAAACGAGGTTGAGAGAAAAAAAATCGTGCGAATATTTCTTCTTAGATCGCGTACAAATATTTATAGAAAGAAATTTCAATTATCGAAAGAGCTAAAATTAAGATATATACATGTATATAGTGTGTGCGCATATGATTGTCAGCTTCTGACTTTGAATCTTTTGATGAGATTTTAGTAAGACTTGAAACTGACATTTCAATATACATTTTGATGTCATCAATCACATACATGCTCATATGATCGATCGCCAGCGTCAATTGTAGAGGATCTTAGCGAGGATCCGCGACAGATTGTCGAGGACGAGGAAGCTACTGTCGAGTGCAAAGCAATTGGGTCACCCAGATCCAATAATCAAGACACGTCGAACTGAGCTTTCTCCGGGGTCCAATAGATGTGTACATATAATGCACGCATACTAATATACCCGGCATTGACGAACGGCCAATGAACGCGGAAGAATCTTCGATTCTTTGACCTCGCTCGGGTCGAGGTTGGAGGATCCCTTCTGGCGAAGATCCTCGAGGCAAGCGTGGGATCTCGCCGCATTTTTCTCGCGGACATTTTTCCGCCGAGAGGAAAAGAGAGAGAAAATTCCATCATATGCAGCTTCTTCTTCATCGACGGTAAAGCACATCGAGAGACGAACACTCGAGTTTGATCATCGCGGTAGATAGTCTGCAAAGTAACGTTCGCGCAAGAAGCTTAACGTGCACTGAGAAAACAATCTGGTTGCATTAATTAGAATTTTAGTAGATTCAACCAGTATGTCTGTTGGAAAGTGAATGAACCAGAATTCTTGTAGAAATTACCAGATGAATCTGATTAATTTCTTCATGTTAAATTTATCAAATTTTCTGGTTAATAATACTAAACTCGCC